AACTGAAGAGAACAGGAGTCAACGGGAGTCAGTGGGAGTCAGTAGGAGTCAGTGGGAGTCAGTGGGAGTCAGTAGGAGTCAGTGGGAGTCAGTGGGAGTCAACGGGAGTCAGTGGGAGTCAGTGGGAGTCAACGGGAGTCAGTGGGAGTCAGTAGGAGTCAGTGGGAGTCAGTGGGAGTCAACGGGAGTCAACTGGAGTCAGTAGGAGTCAGTAGGAGTCAGTGGGAGTCAGTGGGAGTCAACGAGTCAGTAGGAGTCAACGGGAGTCAGTGGGAGTCAGTGGGAGTCAGTAGGAGTCAGTGGGAGTCAGTGGGAGTCACGGGAGTCAGGGAGTCAGTGGAGTCAAAGGAGTCAGTGGGAGTCAGTGGGAGTCAACGGGAGTCAACTGGAGTCAGTAGGAGTCAGTGGGAGTCAGTGGGAGTCAGTGGGAGTCAAGGAGTCACGGAGTCAGTAGTCAGGAGTCGGAGTCAGTGGAGTCAGGGAGTCAGTAGGAGTCAGTGGGAGTCAGTGAGTCAGTCAGTAGAGTCAGTGGGAGTCAGTGGGAGTCAGGGAGTCAGTGGGAGTCAGTGGGAGTCAAACGGGAGTGGGAGTCAGTGGGAGTCAACGGGAGTCAACTGGAGTCAGTAGGAGTCAGTAGGAGTCAGTGGGAGTCAGTGGGAGTCAACTGGAGTCAGTAGGAGTCAGTAGGAGTCAGTGGGAGTCAGTGGGAGTCAACTGGAGTCAGTAGGAGTCAGTAGGAGTCAGTGGGAGTCAGTGGAGTCAACGGGAGTCAGTGGGAGTCAGTGGGAGTCAACGGGAGTCAGTGGGAGTCAGTGGGAGTCAACGGGAGTCAACTGGAGTCAGTAGGAGTCAGTAGGAGTCAGTGGGAGTCAGTGGGAGTCAACGGGAGTCAACTGGAGTCAGTAGGAGTCAGTGGGAGTCAGTGGGAGTCAACTGGAGTCAGTAGGAGTCAGTGGGAGTCAACGGGAGTCAACTGGAGTCAGTAGGAGTCAGTGGGAGTCAGTGGGAGTCAACGGGAGTCAACTGGAGTCAGTAGGAGTCAGTGGGAGTCAAGTTTTGTTGTTTTGTTCAGTGGAAGGAAACTCGTTTATGCGACACATTTGACATTTTCACTGTTTTGACGATTAATGTGTTTGTGTCTCATTTGAACTTTGTACAAAAAGTGATTTAACAAAGACTTTTAGTGTCACACATGATTTACACTTTATTTTTATTGAACCGTATTGACTTGATTTGAAATATATGGAACTGAATTGAAAGCTCATTGTATCGAGGTGTGTGTCGTATCAGCACCAGTGTCATGGAATAATGTGAAATTAAACTCCATGACTCTTTGTGGCGTCTCTGTTTTAAAAGTGAAATGAAACCACGTGGTATTTTCCTCTGTGTTGCCATGGCGATGTGTCCATGTTTCTCTGACGGTAAAATGTCTTCATCTTCTTACATTTCAAAAGAATAAAACGTCGAGTTTCACAGACGATCGTGACATTTAGTGCGGTGACGCTCCAGGTCGTCCCCGTCACAAAAGTCTCTGAGGTCAAAGTCGTATTTTTCACTCTGTTGCCGCGACGATGAAGAACCTCCAACGTGTGTGTGTTGACTTTGTCTGTTTAGTGACATGTGCAGCCCAAAGGCACAAAAACAGACACAGAGACAAGACACAGACTCTCTTCTCTTTCTTTCTCTCTTCTCTCTTTCTGTCCTTCATGTTCTGTGAGAGTCGGACCTGAGGCTCTTGAATCTGAATGTGGAGCTTCAAAGTGTTTGTGATCACAGAGAAACAAGAGAACACAAGAGAAACACAAGAGACCGACACCACTCAGATCAGCCGCACTCAGCCGGACTCAGATTTATAAAATATTTTCAGATTTAAGGACATTATTTTTCTAATTGTTCATGTTTCATGACTTTTTTCTTTAAGATTGAATCAGATGTGGCTGTTTTTTGTTTCAGTTTAGTGAGATTCATCTGCTAAATCTGACCAACCTTTAGTCGAACACAGACTTTTGCACACGGCTCGGTCTTTTGCACTCATCACTTCAGGTGGAGGTTTGTTGTGGAGCTGATGCAGCGTTTACATCAAACCTGATTATTTCTGCTTCAGGGACAAAGACACATTTGAGTTTGAGGTGTTTGTGCGTCTGGAGCAGCGTCTGTATCTGTCATTTCTGTTTTGATTCTGTCTGTGGACGAGACGAGACGAGCAGGACAAGATTCAGACACATTAAAGCGCCGCGCCTCATGTTTTTAAAATCTGAAAAACTAAACTGTTTCATTATAAACAGTTTGTAGACGTCCACAGTTCTTCCTCTCTGACAGTCTGTGTTCAGAGCTCCTCATTATTCACCATGATGAGTTTATAAAAGATTTTCTTATTTCTTATTTCTTATTTTATTTATTTGTAAAGGAACAGTTCATATTAATGAACATTAAAAATGTAAATATGTAAAGATTAAAGCCAACGTGGCTCATTTCCATCTTCAGTCCCTCGGCAGGTTCATGTAAAATCATCTACAGGACGAGGAAAAGTACAACAACAATCACACAAAAGTACAACAACACCAGCACACTATACACACACAACACACACACTATACACACAACACACACACTATACACACACACACACACACACACACTATACACACACACACACACACACACACACTATACACACAACAACACACACTATCACACACACACACACACAACACTATCACACACACACAAACACACACACTATACACACACAACACACTCACTATACACACAACACACACACTGTACACACAACACACACACTATACACACAACACACACACACACACACACACACACACACACACACACTGTACACACACACCACACACACACACTATCACACACACAACACACACACTATACACACACACACACACACTATACACACACACACACACACACTGTACACACACACACACACTGTACACACAACACACACACACATACACACAACACACTCACTATCACACACACACACACACACTATACACACAACACACACACTACACACACACACACACACACTATACACACACACACAACACACACTATACACACAACACACACACACTATACACACAACACACTCAACACACACACACAACACACACTGTACACACAACACACACACTGTACACACACACTCACTATACACACAACACACACACACAACACACACACTATACACACAACACACACACTATACACACAACACACACACTGTACACACAACACACTCACTATACACATCATTAGTTTCAAACAGTTCATTTGAAGTTTAAAGTCAGAAGTTTAAGAATTAAGTCGAGTTAAACCAACAACCCTTCAAAATAAAAGAAAATATAAATGTGTTAAACATGGAGACATATTTGACCATTGAATAACCTCATGTTTTAAAACTTTAGAAAATGTTGCCAATGTTGAAAGTTCTCGTACATGAGCAGTTTCTCTGTGTTCATGTTTGAGCTGCTCGATAAGAAAAAGAGAGTTTGTCCAAAGGAACTTTTCCTAAACGTCCCAGAGCGTCGCCTCTGGAGGTGGAGCAAGATGATTCAAAACTTTGTAAACCAGAATTAAATCTGCATTTTCACAACTCTCACACACCAGAGACAAGTTTTACCATTACAGTAAACCTAACAACAACTAACATGCTAACCACACACCTCCTGATTGTCTGATAAATAATACAACTCTTTATAATCAGATGCCGACAGTGAACTTCTGTTGATCTAAAGAGCTGCTACATCTGCGCTGGGACAAGACACGTTTTACTCAAACACACGGGAACAAAACAGGTGCAGACACTTTAACTTCAACAGAAACAAACTAAAACACGTCTGTAAATGGAAACTTTGAAAATGGAAAAATGCCCACTGAAAATCAAACTTTTTAACTTGATTTGTAAGTGTACAAACCAGGCCCGAGCAGATCACTGAACATCACATGGATCAAACCTTCAGACGTGCTCCTTCAGCACTAGGGCTGTGCAAAAATATTGAAATATCGATATATCGTATCATTTAATGTAATGATACAGTATCGATATCGTGGGCTGCTGTATCGATATATCGCGTATCGAGTATTTTTTTGTGTATTTTACTAAATTATTTTGTTCCAGCTACAGTTTTGTTGTTTGTTTAGTGGAAGGAAACTCGTTCACACGGCAAAAAGGTTCGTTAAAATGAAAATTAAGAACATTTGACTTTATCTGAGTCGACTCCACCAGTGGAATAAGTGTTTTTCTAAATTCAAGCGACATTTGATTTCATTTTTTATTATAAGGGTTGTTGTTTTTCTTTTTTTAAGTGTAGCAAGTTGTATTTTCATATTTTAAGAACAAAAAAATCGTGTTCCGCTGATGGATAATTTAACTTGTCAAGTGGAATTTACTCAAATCATGACAAAACTTTCTCAGTTCAAGTCATCTTAACTTGGCTAGATTAAATTTTTTGCAGTGCATGCGACACATTTGACATTTTCACAGTTTTAGAGGATTAAAATTGTTTCATATTCACTTTGCACAAGAAGAAGTGGTTTAACTAAGACTTTTAGTGTCACAGCCACGATTTAGCCTTTATTTTTATTGAACGGTATCGAATCAATTTGAAATATATCGTATCGAATCGTAAGTTCACTGTATCGAAATATGTATCGTATCGTGGCCTGTGTATCGAGGTATGTATCGTATCGGCATCTTCTTAATGATACCAACCCTATTCAGCACAGATCAGCTTCCAGCCTCTTGACACTCGAGCCTCATTTACCTGTTTAACAATTTAATCTGCTGTTCTGTGGTTTTGGCCTCCTCCTGTGTGTTTCAGATGGTGTTTCTGATCTTCTCCTGTGTGTGTTTCAGATGGTGTTTCTGATCTTCTCCTGTGTGTTTCAGATGGTGTTTCTGATCTTCTCCTGTGTGTGTTTCAGATGGTGTTTCTGATCTTCTCCTGTGTGTGTTTCAGATGGTGGTGTTGATGGACCCTCTGGAGGACCCTGATGATGTTCTTCGTGCCAATCGCTCCAGAGAGAAAACCTACATGTTTGACGTGGCGTTTGACTATTCAGCCAGCCAGGTCTGAACGTCTCACTCATGTTTCATCTCACACATGTTTCATCTCACTTCCTCTGCTGAGCTCCTTTATAAAACGTAAATCCCAGAGAGCTCCTTGTTTTATCGGTCACAAGAATTGAGAGTAGAGGATCCACAGCGAGCTTCAGACGAGGCTCAGTTAGACGCCTGTTAAACATAAACCATTATCTGTTTATTATTGCACAAATCAGGCATCAGAAGACACATTCACACTGGGAATTCATCACATTTTAGTCATTAAACACCGTACATATAATTCAGAAATGGATTGGTGGAGAACTCCTGGTAACTCCTGAGGATAAAGTGTATAGAACCAGAGTCAGTCCCACACTCGTCAGTCCCGCCCTCGTCAGTCCGCCCACGCGTCAGTCCCGCACGCGTCAGTCCCGCACGCGTCAGTCCCGCACTCGTCAGTCCCGCCCTCGTCAGTCCCCGCCTCGTCAGTCCCGCACTCATCTTTAAATCCTAACCTGTGCTGTGTTCCAGGAGGAGGTGTACAGAGCCACCACCAAAGGCCTGATCGAGGGCCTCATCTCCGGGTACAACGCCACCGTGTTCGCCTACGGACCCACAGGTACGGTCCTGAGGTTTGACCCGGAGACGCTGGAGGACGGGTCAAATGCAGACAGTAGGACAGAGGACAGTGTGTCTGATTGGGGTCCATGGAAAATTAAAGTTTGGTTCAGTCGTTCAATATCATTTATTTTGATAGAGCCCAAACTCAGTGACTTTGAGTTTTTAATCATCTGTTCTCATGGTGTTTCTAAACCAGATCTGTGGGCTGGACGAACCCGGACCCAGACCCTGAACCAGACCCAGACCCTGACCCGGACCCTAAACCAGACCGGACCTGGACCCTGATCCAGACCCTGACCCTGAACCAGACCCTGACCCGGACCCTGAACCAGACCCGGACCCTGAACCTGAACCTGAACCAGACCCAGACCCGGACCCTGAACCACACCCGGACCCTGAACCTGAACCAGACCCAGACCTGGACCCTGAACCACACCCGGACCCTGATCCTGAACCAGACCAGACCGACCCTGAACCCACACCCGGACCCTGAACCTGAACCAGACCCAGACCTGGACCCTGAACCACACCCGGACCCTGAACCTGAACCAGACCCAGACCCGGACCCTGAACCAGACCCGGACCCTGAACCAGACCCAGACCTGAACCAGACCCTGACCAATCAGATTTATGTAATATTCTACGTGTGTTTGTTCTGTGCAGACTGTGGTAACTGGAGCACGTCACACTTGTGTAATATATATTTGTGTTTTCAGGTTGTGGTAAGACGTACACGATGTTGGGCACAGATCAGGAGCCTGGGATCTACGTCCGAACTCTGAACGATCTGTTTCGTGCCATCGAAGACACGAGCGACGACATGACCTACTCTGTGTCCATGTCCTACCTCGAGGTACTTAGTCCTGGTTTCAGTCCTGGTTCAGTCCTGGTTCAGTCCTGGTTCAGTCCTGGTTCAGTCCTGGTTTAGTCCTGGTTTAGTCCTGGTTTAGTCCTGGTTGAGTTCAGTCTGTATGTCTGTACTTTGGCTCGTGGTTTATTTGCAGTCTCCAGGGAGCGCCCATTGTCTCTATGCTCTAAAACCTTTATTACCCTCTGCACATTCACTCCTCCCTCTCTCCCTCTCTCCCTCTTTCTCTCTTTCTCTCCTTCTCTCTTTTCTTTCCCTCTTTCTCCTCCACTATCTCCTCTGAACACACAGCCGTGACAAACAAAGCTGCTATAGGTTAAATCCTAAAATAGCTCCATCAACACGAGCCTCACGAGTAAAACCATCCACATCTTTTCTGTATAATTCCACAGGTCGAACATAAACGCTCCTCCTGAACTCTCTGAAGGTCTCGTCTGTGCGTTTGTTCTCTTGTTCCGAGTCGTTCTTTCTGCTCTGACGTGTCGGTGGTTCTTCTCTCTGCTCAGATCTATAACGAGATGATCCGGGACCTGCTGAACCCGGCCTCTGGGTTCCTGGACCTGAGGGAAGATTCCAAAGGAGTGATCCAAGTGGCCGGGATCACCGAGGTGTCCACCATCAACGCTCAGGAGGTCAGAGCTCTGAGAGACCTGAGGGACCCGAGACAGACCCGAGACAGACCCGAGACAGACCCGAGACAGACCCAGAGTTAGACCCGAGACAGACCAGAGTTAGACCCGAGACAGACCCGAGACAGACCCGAGACAGACCCGAGACCCGAGACAGACCAGAGTTAGACCCGAGACAGACCAGACCGAGACAGACCAGAGTTAGACCCGAGACAGACCCGAGACAGACCCGAGTTAGACCCGAGACAGACCCGAGACAGACCAAAGTTAGACCCGAGACAGACCAGAGTTAGACCCGAGACAGACCCGAGACAGACCCGAGTTAGACCGAGACCAGACCGAGACAGACCAGAGTTAGACCAGACAGACCAGAGTTAGACCCGAGACAGACCGAGACAGACCGAGACAGACCCGAGACAGACCAGAGTTAGACCAGAGTTAGACCAGAGTTAGACCCGAGACAGACCCGAGACAGACCCGAGACAGACCCCCAGACCCGACAGACCCGAGACAGACCCAGAGTTAGACCAGAGACAGACCCGAGACAGACCCAGAGTTAGACCAGAGTTAGACCAGAGTTAGACCAGAGTTAGACCAGAGTTAGACCAGAGTTAGACCCGAGACAGACCCGAGACAGACCCGAGACAGACCAGAGACTTAGACCAGAGTTAGACCAGAGTTAGACCAGAGTTAGACCAGAGACAGACCCGAGACCTGAGAGAGACCTGTGTTAGTCCTGTGTTAGACCCAGAGTCAGACAGACTTGGGTCAGACTTGGGTCAGACTTGGGTCAGACTTGGGTCAGACTTGGGTCAGACCTGGATTAGACGTGTTGGGTTAATCCAGTCTGTAGCAGATTTAGTTTCTTCTGTAAACAGGGTTGGGTTTGTTGGGACCAGGTGGATCAGTCTGTCTGCCCCGGGGCAGCTGTGGCTACAGGATGATGTCACCACAGTCACTGTTTGTGAAGTGAATAGAACACAACATTGTGACTGTGAGATTTGAACCCGGATCAGCTCCAGTCTCAGTTTAGTCCTGGTTTAGACCCGGGTCAGTCTGTTTAGAGCTGAAGAAACGTTTCTCTGATGTTTTAAACGACAGACGAGTCCAACAGATTTGACCTCTGCTCTTCTTTGAACTGTTTGGACTTTGTTCTTCTGTTCAGGTCATGGAGCTCCTGGTCACACACCTGTTAACAGTTGTGTTGTTGTTGTGTTGTTGTGTTGTTGTGCGTTCAGATCATGGAGTTGTTGGTCAAAGGGAACAGGCAGCGAACTCAGGAGCCGACAGCGGCCAATCAGACGTCGTCTCGTTCTCACGCTCTGCTCCAGGTCAGCGTGAAGCAGCAGAGCCGGAGCCCCGACCTGCAGCAAGAAGTGCGCTTCGCCCGACTCTTCATGATCGACCTGGCGGGATCCGAGCGCGCAGCACAGGTAACACGCTCTTCATCTCTGCTCTTCGTCTCTGCTCTTCGTCTCTGCTCTTCGTCTCTGCTCTTCTCTCGCTCTCTCTCGCTCTTCGCTCTCTCGCTCTTTCGTCTCTCGCTCTTCGTTCTCTTCGTCGCTCTTCGTCTCTTCGTCTCTCTTCGTCTCGCTCTTCTTCGTCTCCGCTCTTCGTCTCCGCTCTTCGTCTCCGCTCTTCGTCTCTGCTCTGCGTCTCCGCTCTCGTCTCTGCTCTTCTTCTGTCTCTAGACACATTTACGGGATGTTTTTTAATTCAGATTTAATTGTTCTGAATTAAAATCTTTTCCTTGGAGTTTCCATGGAAATAATAATTCTGAATTAATTGTTTCTGTGTTAAACTGGTGAAATGTTTTTTATTTAACGTGTGTGAGCGTCGGGGGGGGGGGGGGGGAGGTTGGACAGAGACACTGATTCCGATGATAATTGCGAAACAGCGACTGGAGAATCGTCTCATCACACTTTCCGTCTGTGAGCTGAGGAGGAGGAGGGAAGAGTGTTGGAGAAGGAGGAAGAAGACAAAAGCTCAGCCCACTCCCGCATCCCGCTGACAAATCCAAAGAGACGTGGATCAAAGTCCCGAGACACGACTGGACTGGTGGAGCCGGATCGTCCGGATCGACGCGTCAGAAGGACGACACGAGGAGCACGAAGCACCAGCAGCATTTTAACAAGAAGAAACAAGAAACTAACCAGGCTGGTGCCACCTTGTGTCTCCCCTCAGTTTCATTTCTCTCCAGCTCTAGATCAGGAATCAGGAAACACCAGACGGTTCACAAAAACTCTGAAAGTGCGAGTTTGGGCTCCAGCCAATCAGAGAAGAGACAGACATTCTGTGTTGGCAACGATTCCCGAGATTGAGGATTTAAAGTCAGAACAAAGAGAATGTTTGATGAATTTGATCTCGGGGAAAGTCGTTCTTGTTCTTCTTCCTACAGGATTTGGAGCTTTACAAACGTCACAACCAAACAGCAGCGACTGGTTCAATAAAAAAAGTCCCGTCTACTTTCGAGTGAACGAATCCTAATGCTGCAGGTCACACGGTTTCCACCAAGTGAAACCAGCTCAGGAATCAGACTGAACGTGAAACATGATCCAGGAAGAAATTCATTCAGCTTTAAAATTGGAATAAACCAAACACTTACTTCAGGTTTAAGTTTAATTCCAAATAATCATTTTCATTAAGAATCAAGTGTTTACATGGACTTTTAAAAGCTAAATTCATTTTTATTCAGAATTAAATTAGTTTTATTTGGAATTAAAGCTCTCCTGTGAACGTGGCAACAGTCTGTCCTTCCATCCCTCCTCTCTTTGTGTTTTTCTCCAGTCTCTCTCCTTCTCTCCTCTTTCTCTCCCTCTGTTTAAATTCACTTCTTTCATTGATCCAGTTCCGTTTGTTTTTCCCTCTGGTCGATCTTCTCACCTGCTGCTGCTGAACTCAAACTCAAATAAACATTTAAAGATTTAAAAACCAAAACAACACAAAACTGAGAAAAGGTTTCACAGAACAGAGGATGAAGAGAAGGATTTTAAAAGAGAAAGAGAAGCCTTTGTGTGACCTTTGCCCTGAGCCTGGAGACACAGAACTGTGAGCAGAGTGCGCCCCCTGCTGGACACTGCACAGAACACAACAAAAACTCACGGAGTCTGGGCTCAATTTCACTTAAACACTGAATTTCAGAACAGAATAATTTTGAAATATTTGTTTTGAAATGCTGAATGTTTGAGACGGGGTTTAGTCCTGGTTCAGTTCTGGCTTAGTCCTGGTTTAGTCCTGGTTCAGTCCTGGTTCAGTCCTGGTTTAGTCCTGGTTCAGTCCTGGCTTAGTCCTGGTTCAGTCCTGGTTCAGTCCTGGTTCAGTCCTGGTTCAGTCCTGGCTTAGTCCTGGTTCAGTCCTGGTTCAGTCCTGGCTTAGTCCTGGTTCAGTCCTGGTTCAGTCCTGGCTTAGTCCTGGTTCAGTCCTGGTCCTGGTTAGTCCTGCTTAGTCCTGGTTCAGTCCTGGTTCAGTCCTGGTTCAGTCCTGGTTCAGTCCTGGTTCAGTCCTGGTTCAGTCCTGGTTCAGTCCTGGCTTCAGTCCTGGTTCAGTCCTGGTTCAGTCCTGGTTCAGTCCTGGTTCAGTCCTGGCTTAGTCCTGGTTCAGTCCTGGTTCAGTCCTGGTTCAGTCCTGGTTCAGTCCTGGTTCAGTCCTGGTTCAGTCCTGGTTCCTTAGTCTGGTTAGTCCTGGTTCAGTCCTGGTTCAGTCCTGGTTCAGTCCTGGTTCAGTCCTGGCTTAGTCCTGGTTTAGTCCTGGTTCAGTCCTGGTTCAGTCCTGGTTCAGTGTGACGGGGTTCTATCTTGCTGTAATAACGATGGCGTAGTCAGAAGGATGTTTTTTTGAGTGTTTAATAGGTGTTAAAGTTCCCAAATAAAGAAAGTTTGAAGAGTGCTTTACCAAAAAAAAGAGAAACAATACAGAAAAAGTATTTACAATATATACACACACACACCAGCAAAGTCTGCTTAAATCTCTGGTATGTTACCTTCCTCTTGCAGGTCCAGGTTTAAACTGACTGAGGGAGGGAGAGTGGCTCTTTTATCCCCCATGACTCCTCCCCCAAGCCAATTAACTAAGAAATGTGGGTTTTCACCCTTAAAACCCAAATTACTGATAACAACAAAATAAGGAAAAACCCCAAAAAATACTGTAAATTATATGGCGCCTGTAGCAGCAATAGAAAATGAGAAACTAATATTTTATTATCAACGGTGGTTTTTTTGGTGATGACGTCGCAGTGACGTCACATGCGAAGGTCCCGCGCACGAAACCGGAAATAGGAAGTGTCAGATCAGTGCTCTGTTTGCCAGTGGGCGTGAGGACAGGGGATGGATAATGAGGAAAGGTAGATGGAAGATGAAGTTATGGAGGTGAAGGATTTGGCAGCGGACTTGTGCGCAGCCAAGGTACTGCGGTGGTGAGCGGACGGAAAATGGGTAGCGGGGACCGGAGTGGACAGACGGGAGTGAGCAACAGAGCGGGTCCGGTGCAGGAATGAATGAAAACAGGTGGGTAGTTGGCGCGGGCTTGTTCGGGCGTGATTAAGTAAACACGCGCTCGAACGGAGCGACTCCGTCACACTTAGTCTTGGTTAAGTCCTGGTTTAGTCCTGGTTAAGTCCTGGTTTAGTCCTTATTTTGGTCTTGTTTGTTTGGAGGAGAAATTTCAGTTTTCTGCTGAACTGTTTTCTACACATTTATGGAGAAAATACTTCATTGAAATATAGATTTTTATTTTTTATTTATGTTTTAAAACACAACAAAAAAAAAAAAAGACACTGAAATCTGAACCGAGGAGAGCAGTTTTTACACAGTACAACCCCACAGAGACACGGGAGGGCATCTGACGCTGTTGTGTTGTTGTTGTGTTATTGTCAATTCAATTCAGTTCAATCTTTATTAAGAACACATGATATCTGGTTCATAGTATTAAAAAGACAATAGTAAGAATAAAAAGTTAAATCCAGTGCATGTTATAATGTTTACAGACAAGAACAGCTCAGAGGTGAATCTGACAGAGCTGCTCACACACACACGAGAGCACAGGTGTCAAACTCATGTTGTTCCGGGGGTCGTGTCCAACCGACTTTGATCCAAAGTGTCTGGATCAGAAAACTCATGTCATATAAACCCCAAAATAACAATAAGTTCAAATATTTGTGCAGAGAAACACAAATCTATTACAGAAATATGTTTTAATTGATGAACTCTTTCTTTTACAAAATATTATAATATTATAAACAACCTGAAACTTTAAGAAAAATACAATTTCAACACAAAGTTTTAACATGAACTTGTTTGTAAATAAGAATAAGTCCATTTTTGTTGTAAAATCCTGCACTCGGCTCCACTTTTCTCATGTTGGACATTTTTCTGATGAGGGTGTCACGGTCAACAGTCAAAACGATCGTCCTTTAAGAGCGTTTGGAATGAGACAAGTCTTCATTTGTGCTGCTCTGGTGGGAGGGGCCACGTACAGAGACGCTGCTGTGATAAACACCACAGAAAATTAACACCATTTTAATAGAAAATATCATTACAATATTTGAGTAGAAAATCAGCCGAGGGCCAGATTAAAGGTCTTGGAGGGCCGGATCTGGCCCCCGGGCCGTATGTTTGACACCTGTGCTCTAGAGCTTCAATGATTCGATGACTCAGATTCATGACTCTACACATAAATGAATAAATACAACACCTGATTATGACGGCACAGAGTCTCACATCACAATTTACAAACATTTCACTGGTGCAACAAAACCTCAGCACTTTCAGAAATATTCTCAAAGAGTCGTTATCCGCCACCGTCAAACTCTGCAAACTCTTTTTCTTATAGTCGCGCCAAAGATGTGCAGTGTACAAGGGTGAGCAGAAACATTTAAAAAGTGCAATTGTGAAATGACTGGAGCACATGGAGAACTAACGGACGAGTATATTGGCCTGAACATAAAGACACTGCTGCCTGCACATGTGTCTGTCATCGTTGTGTTGTTGTTGTGTTATTGTTGTTGTGTTGTTGTTGTGTTATTGTTATTGTTGTTGTGTTGTTGTTGCAGACTCAGAACAGGGGTCAGCGTCTGAAGGAGGGAGCTCACATAAACCGCTCGCTCCTCGCTCTGGGAAACTGCATCAACGCCCTGAGCGACAAGAACGCTCCAAAGTACATCAACTACAGAGACAGTAAACTCACCAGACTACTCAAGGTACTACAAATACTACTACTACTACTACTACTACTACTACTACAACTACACATCCTTCTACTCCTACTTTCTTGTGCTCAGGATTCTTTAGGAGGAAACAGCAGGACGGTGATGATCGCTCACATTTCTCCAGCCTCGTCTGCGTTTGAAGAATCCAGAAACACACTGACCTACGCCGACAGAGCCAAGAGCATAAAAACACGAGTGAGTAAAGAGACAAACACTTTCACACTTCAGGTTTCATTTAGTTTTGGGGAACAAAATCATCACATACGAGTTTATTTAAGTGTGAAACTGCACGACTCACACTCCTCCTCTGTGTGTGTCTCTGTGTGTCTGTGTTTGTGTGTATTTGTTTGTGTGTTTGTTCCAGGTGAAGAAGAACCTCCTGAACGTGACGTATCACATCGCTCAGTACACGAGCATCATCACAGAACTCAGAGGAGAAATCCAGAGACTCCAGAGGAAAATCAGCGAACAAGAACGAAACAGACAGAGATCATCCGATGTACTATATACACACACGATAATATATGTACTATATACACAAATATGTACTATATACACAATATGTACACAATATATGTATATACACAAATATATGTACTATATACTATATACACAATATATACATATATGTACTATATACACAAATATGTACTATATACACAAATATGTACTATATACACAAATATGTACTATATACACAAATATGTACTATATACACAAATATGTACTATATACACAAATATGTACTATATACACAAATATGTACTATATACACAAATATGTACTATATACACAAATATGTACTATATACACACAAATATGTACTATATATGTACTATATACACAAATATGTACTATATACACAACTATATATATACACACATATATGTACTATATACACAAATATGTACTATATACACAAATATGTACTATATACTATATACACAATATGTATGTATATACACAAATATGTACTATATACACAAATATGTACTATATACACAAATATGTACTATATACACACATATATGTACTATATACACAAATATGTACTATATACACAAATATGTACTATATACACAAATATGTACTATATACACAAATATGTACTATATACACACAAATATGTACTATATACACAAATATGTACTATATAACATGTAACGGACTAGGGCTAGGACATAGCAGCGATCTGTGCAATCAGAAGAAGGTCCAGCAGGAGTGAAGGTGTGTGAATAAAACAAAGAACACAAAATCTGTTGAAAGATGTATATTAATGATATAAATTCAGAGTATAAATATATAAAGGGTATGAATAATAGAAACGTATTTATATTATATTATTATTATTATTATTATTATTGATATGTATATATAGGTATGATTTAACAGAACCAAAATAACACACACAAAAAAATGACAAAACCAGTAATTGTCTTTCCAAGTCAAGAGTCCAGTTAATAGGCCGGGGTAGAGGGTGATATAGTCCATTAAAGTTATTGTAATCCAAAAGAGAATAGGTTCCGTTGTTATGAAAGAGGTGTTTTTATCCTACCGTGATTCATGCAGGTTCTGTAGCTCGACATCCAGTGTAGTGTTGTTGATGTGCAAGAGAATGATCCAGTGTGGGGAAAAAAACCTGACCGTTGAGATGTGTTCTGAGGGGAAGGAAAGAAAGGTGTATCGGTGCCGGTAAATGTTTATCAGATCTGTCTAGGTGAGGCGTCCTTTTCCAAACGTTTAGCCACAGCACTGTAGCCCCAGAGGAGAGGAGCAGGAAGGGTGTGTGTGTGTGTGTGTGTGTGGTGTGTGTGTGTGTGGTTGTGTTGTGTGTGTGTGTGGTGTGTGTGTGTGTGTGTGTGTGTGTGGGTTATCCCGCCACAGTAAGGGTTCCACCCGACATGGTGTTACGTAACGTGGGTTACAAACACATGAACTATACACACACGTACAGGGTAAGGACACTTGTACACATGTATAAATATGTGTCATAAATAGAGAGGAACATTTTCCGTCTGGTGCAGTTTAACAGGAGCTCTGGTCGGGAGAGTCAGGTCTGTGTCTGTGCAGTTTGAGGTGAATAACAGCCCTCAGGACAAAAGTGTCTCTCCTCTGTGTCCTGCAGCGTCACATGTTTGGGTCGATGATGTGACAGAACGTTCACTCCACTGTTTCCTCTGGAAGTCTCAAGTCTCTCTGTAGTTCATCATCATCATCCAGAGCTCAGCAGTGTCTCTCTCTCTCTCTCTCTGTCTCTCTGTGTCTCTCTGTGTCTCTCTCTCTGTCTCTTTGTGTCTCTGTGTCTCTCTCTGTCTCTCTCTGTCTCTGTCTCTCTGTGTCTCTGTGTCTCTGTCTCTCTCTGTCTCTCTCTCTGTGTCTCTGTCTCTCTGTGTCTCTCTGTCTCTGTGTCTGTCTCTCTGTCTCTCTCTGTGTCTCTCTCTGTGTCTCTCTCTGTGTCTCTGTCTCTCTGTGTGTCTCTCTGTCTCTGTCTCTCTCTCTCTCTGTCTCTCTGTCTCTGTCTCTCTGTCTCTGTCTCTCTGTGTCTCTGTCTCTCTCTCTCTGTGTCTCTGTCTCTCTCTCTCTGTCTCTCTCTGTCTCTCTGTGTCTCTGTCTCTGTCTCTCTCTGTCTCTCTGTCTCTCTGTGTCTCTCTGTGTCTCTGTCTCTGTCTCTCTGTCTCTCTGTCTCTCTGTGTCTCTGTCTGTCTCTCTGTCTCTCTGTGTCTCTCTGTGTCTCTGTCTCTCTGTGTCTCTGTCTCTGTCTCTCTGTCTCTCTCTGTCTCTCTCTGTCTCTCTGTGTCTCTGTCTCTGTCTCTCTGTGTCTCTGTGTCTCTCTCTGTCGTGGAGGTGCAAGCTCTGTCCTCTCTTCTCTTCAGGGCGGAGGTGGAGCGTCTGTTTCTGTCTCTGTCTCTCTCTCTCTGTCTCTGTCTCTGTCTCTGTCTCTCTCTCTCTGTCTCTCTGTGTCTCTGTCTCTGTCTCTGTCTCTCTCTCTCTGTCTCTGTCTCTGTCTGTGTCTCTCTCTCTGTCTCTCTGTGTCTCTGTCTCTGTCTCTCTCTCTCTGTCTCTGTCTCTGTCTCTGTCTCTGTCTCTCTCTCTCTCTCTCTCTCTGTCTCTCTGTCTCTCTGTCTCTCTGTCTCTCTGTGTCTCTGTCTCTGTCTCTCTCTCTCTCTCTCTCTGTCTCTGTCTCTGTCTCTCTCTCTCTGTCTCTCTGTGTCTCAGTCTCTGTCTCTGTCTCTCTCTGTGTAGTCTAACAGTGTGTGGTGTGTTTTCCAGCGGAGGTGCAGGCTCTGTCTCGGTCTCTGTCTCTGTCTCTGTCTCTGTGTCTCAGTCTCTGTCTCTGTCTCTCTCTGTGTAGTCTAACAGTGTGTGGTGTGTTTTCCAGCGGAGGTGCAGGCTCTGTCCTCTCATCAGTCCCGGGAGGAGGTGGAGCGCTGTCGGGAGCAGATCCTCCAGACGTTCCGGGAGCAGATGGAGATCAGGAGGAGCCTGATGGAGCTGGAGAACTCCAACCTGGACCTGCAGGTGGAGACGTCCAGAGATCAGGAGGGACTGCAGACTAGACTGGAGCCAGACCTGACTGACTGACACCTGACTGACACTGTACTGCACTGACCTGTGACTGACTCACACTGGAACTGCACTGACACCTGCTCACCACTGTACGCAAGTACTACGAACTGTACTGACTGACTGTACTGTACTGAACTGTACTGTACTGTACTACTGAACTGTACTGCGAACTGTACGAACTGTACTGCGAACTGTACTGCAAACTGTACTGCAAACTGTACTACGAACTGTACTACGAACTGTACTGTGAACTGTACTGTGAACTGTTAATTATTTTCACTTCCACTTGTGGTATTTTAAGAGTTTTCTGAAAGTGTTTTGTTTTGTAGCTGGGAGCAGGAGCGCAGCCGACGCCGCAGGAAGTGGAAGTCTGAGCAGCAGAGAGAGAGCGACACGAAAGAGGAGAGAGAAACGAAAGAGGAGAGCGAGACTCGAGAGGAGAGCGAGAAGGACTCGGACAGCTCCGAGTCTGCTCCAGAAACATCTGAGACTCTGGAGGTGTCCACAGCCCGAGAAAACCTGCTCCTGCTGATGAGCGAGCAGAAGAGGATCCACAAACAGAAGGTCAGACCTGAGTTACACCTGAGTTAGACCTGAGGCAGTCCTAGGTTAGTCCTGGGTTAGTTCTAGATCTGGAGAAAGGTCCTGAGCAGGTTCTGGATCGTCATTCGAGGTCGTTCTAAACACATTCAGGAAAGGTTCTGCCCGTAGTTTCTATATCAGCTTTAGTTTATCGAAGTTTTATCCAATTTCTGACTCTTTTTCCCTCCCGTCCGTCTGTCAGGCCGTGCTGGAGCGTCGTCTGGCTCTTCTCTGTGACCAGGCCCAGCGCACGGAGGAGCTTCTGCCTCAGAGGGTGAGCTGTGAGGGCCAGAGGCAGGTCCTGGGGCTCCTCTGCAAAGTCCACGAGCTGGAGCTGGAGAAGGCCGAGATGCAGTCGTCCGCTCTGCTCAAAGACAACCTGCTGAGGAGGAAAGAACGCGTGGTCCAGCGCTGCGAGCGACACCGGCAGCTCTGCGACCAGATCATCCAGACACAGAGGAACTTTATCCACGGTGAGGAGGGTAAAGGTGCACAGTTTCAACGGGCTGTACCTGGTTTCTTTCTTAAAAACATGAAAAACAGGGGGCGCTAGCGAGCCGGCAATGGAGTAACAGCTAATTGTGGGGGCTCCCACTAATTTTTTGTTAAAAAGTTCCAAAAAAGTAATATTATTTCGACCTACAAATATATTTTCTGCAACAGAAGTGGGTACTGACACACCCGGTCTCGTTTTCTGGTTGAAATGGCGTTTAACTTGAGAAAGTACAAATACACCGGAGCTCCGACTACTAGGCCTGAAGTGTGTAATAGTTGTGTGTAATAGTTGTGTGTTTGTTGTGTGTAATAGTTGTGTGTTTGTTGTGTGTAATAGTTGTGTGTTTGTTGTGTGTAATAGTTGTGTGTTTGTTGTGTGTTTCAGACCACAGTTTGTCGGTTCCTCCTCAGCTGCAGGAGCTTTATGACGTTTATCTGAAGGAGGCTGATGAGAGGCGACTGGAGCGAGCGCTGGCCCTGGACACAGCCACAGCACGATACAACATCAAGGTACTCACACCGGGTCTAGACCGGGTCTAGACTGGGTTTAGACCGGGTTTAGACCCTCTTTCTCTTCTGTAGGAGGGCTCTCTTCCGAAGATCTCTCTCCCAGGCCACAGTCGGGACCAGACCCTGGACTTGGACTCGGATCAGGAGAGTCTGAGGAACGTGAGGCTGGAACGAACCAGGAGACACACCCTGCCCCCGATCCTCCCCGAGCCCGAGCTGTGAGGATACACCGATAACGCACCGATACTGCACCGATATTACACATTCAACACTCTCATATTGCACCGATAACAAACCGATATTACAAAGGTATTACACACATATTACACAGTGATAAGAAGTTGAATTGTGTTTTGTGTTTTTTTTTCAGGGACAGTAACAGAGTTTTTAAAAACAGTCCTCATGCCCAAAGGATCAAAAACTCCTCCGTCGTGACTCCTCCTCCCATCCACATCAACGGCAAGAACAGAGAGGTCAGACCTGGTTTAGTCTAGACCTGGTTCAGACCTGGTTTAGACCTGGTTTAGTCCTGGTTTAGTCCTGGTTTAGTCTAGACCTGGTTTAGTCCTGGTTTAGTCCTGGTTTAGACCTGGTTCAGTCCTGGTTCAGTGCTGGTTTAGACCTGGTTTAGTCCTGGTTTAGACCTGGTTCAGTCCTGGTTCAGTCCTGGTTTAGACCTGGTTTAGTCGTGTTGTTCTTTGCTCTGAGATATTTGTTTCTGTTTCAGCTGCAGCCTTTGGCCCCGGACTCGTTCCTGAGCTACAGTCTCCTCTCTCACAGCGTCAGCTCCCACCTGGACTCCTCCCCCGAGAGCAGCGAGACGGGGGCGGAGCTAACACACTCAGGTGAGCAGGGGGCGGGGCTAATGCACTCAGGTGACTTGGTGGTGCAGTGGTTAGTGCTTCTGCCTCACAGCTGGAAGGTTCTGGGTTTGGTTTTGAGTCTCTGAGTCCTGATCTGCTCATGTTGTGTTTGTTGTTTGTGTTCAGTTTCACTCAAATGTCTTTTTCTTACTGCACACACCGTTTTGAAAACTTTTTGCTCTTCTTTCTTCTTTCTTCTCTCTCTTTCTCTTGTTCTCCCCCCCGTCAGAGCGAGAGCAGATCCTGCGCGGCGTCCAGAACATCGTGGTCAAAGCGGCGCGGCGGCGCTCTCGGGCTCTGGAGGGCGACGTGCTGCGCTTCCCTCCCCCCTCCTCCCCCCTGGACGCCCACAAACAGAGGAGCGTCCTGTCCCTGAGCGCGGCCCCCCCCACGGGCCCCCCCCGCGCCGCCGACAGCCCAGCCCCGAGCTCGCCCACGCCACCTCCGACGACAACCTGTCCAGCAGCACCGGGGACGCGCCCCACCCCGGACCCAAGACCAGGACCAGACCCGGACCCGCCAAGAACCACACCCCCCGAGACGCCAGGGACAGCGAGGGGGAGGGCCGCCGCAGGAAGAGGAGGAGCCGCTCCTTCGAGGTCACGGGGCAGGCGGTGAGTAACGACCCCGTCCCGCAATCAGGACGGGAGAGTGCGGTGATGTTCTCGTCCTGCAGGGGGCGCTGTGTCCAATTCCATCTACTTTTAAATTGATTAGATTAGATTTGAAAACATCTAACAGTGATTTTGATTTGATCTTTGACGTTTATTTACCTGGAATCCAGAACACAGAGTCTGGTCACTGTTCAGATGATTGACAGGTGGATCAGCCAATCAGGGACAGGCAGGGTCCATCTGTATCAAAACAAACATGGCAAAAAAGAAAAAACAAATATATCAGGAGTGAAAAAAAAAGAAGGATCTGTGCAGACCCAGACGTGTGACTGTGTTTGTAAATGACAGAGACCAACGAGCTCCTGCGTTTCACAAAACTTTCACACACTAGTAGAAATAAAAATAAATCAAATCTGAACTTTAAACTCGTCCAAGAATCACATGGATTTCAGAACATGTTTGTACAAGTTTAAAGTGCAGCTCTGTCACTTTTTACACAGAAACAGACCCACAGACTGCACAGGGAGGGCACCTGACACACACAGAGGGCACCTGACACACACAGAGGGCACCTGACACACACAGAGGGCACCTGACACACACGGAGGGCACCTGACACACACGGGGAGGGCACCTGACACACACGGGGAGGGCACCTGACACACACAGAGGGCACCTGACACACACGGAGGGCACCTGACACACACGGAGGGCACCTGACACACACGGAGGGCACCTGACACCTGACACACACAGAGGGCACCTGACACACACGGAGGGCACCTGACACACACGGGGAGGGCACCTGACACACAGGGCACTGGGAGGGCACCTGACACACACGGAGGGCACCTGACACACACGGAGGGGACACACACGGGGAGGGCACCTGACACACACGGAGGGCACCTGACACACACGGGGAGGGCACCTGACACACACGGGGAGGGCACCTGACACACACGGAGGGCACCTGACACACACGGAGGGCACCTGACACACACGGAGGGCACCTGACACACACGGGGAGGGCACCTGACACACACGGAGGGCACCTGACACACACGGGGAGGGCACCTGACACACACGGAGGGCACCTGACACACACGGAGGGCACCTGACACACACGGAGGGCACCTGACACACACGGGGAGGGCCTGGGTCTCACCTGTGTCTCACCTGTGTCTCACCTGTGTCTCACCTGAGCTTTTGGGATCTGTCCTCGTCCGTCCTCAGCTTCCTCAGACGAAGTCGACGGCGGCTCAGAGGCTCCGCCCCCTGGACAGCACCTCAGACCCGCACCTCCACATGGGCCCCGCCCCCCAGCGCTCCGAGCCCCGAGAGGAGGAGCCAGAGCGGGGAGAGGCCGAGGAGCGCACCCCCCCACGGACCTACACACAGGTCTCTACACACACACACACACACACACACACACACACACACACACACACACACACACACACACACACACACACACACACACACACACACACACACACACACACACACACACACACACACACACACACACACACAGGTCTCACACACACACCACACACACAGGTCTCTGCACACACACACACACACACACACATACACACAACACACACACAGGTCTCTGCACACACACACGCACACACACACACACACACACACACACACAGGTCTCTGCACACACACACACACACACACACACACACACACACACACACACACACACACACACACACGCACACACACACACACACACACAGGTCTCTGCACACACACACACACACACACAGGTCTCTGGCACACACACACACACACACACACACACACAGGTCTCTGCACACACACACACACACACACACACACACACACACACACACACACAGGTCTCTGCACACACACACACACACACACACACAGGTCTCTGCACACACACACACACACACACACAGGTCTCTGCACACACACACACACACACACAGGTCTCTGCACACACACACACACACACACACACACAGGTCTCTGCACACACACACACACACACACACACAGGTCTCTGCACACACACACACACACACACACAGGTCTCTGCACACACACACACACACACAGGTCTCTGCACACACACACACACACACAGGTCTCTGCACACACACACACACACACACACACACACACAGGTCTCTGCACACACACACACACACACACACACACACACACACAGGTCTCTGCACACACACACACACACACACACAGGTCTCTGCACACACACACACACACACACACACACACACACACACAGGTCTCTGCACACACACACACACACACAGGTCTCTGCACACACACACACACACACACACAGGTCTCTGCACACACACACACACACACACACACACACACACACACACACACACACACACACACACACACACACACACACACACACACACACACACACACACACACACACACACACACACACACACACACACACACACACACACACACACACAAACACACACACACTATACACACGTTTAATTAGAAGAATTGACTGGAGCAGCTTTGTTTAAAAGGAAACGTGAGTAACGTGCAGCATAATTTCCGGGTTTCCTTATAAATTAAATATTCCAATAAAGTTCTGACTCAGACTCTCAGTGTTTTTTTTGTTTTTTTTTTTCATTTCTTTTTATTCAAATGTGATTTTATTTTCTCATTTCTCCTCCAGGCCCAGACTCGGCTCCTCTGTCCAACCTGAAGAGAGTCCCACAACTCAGACCACAACCTCTGCTCTACATCAGCTCCACCAACTCCCAGAGACAGAGGAGGAACTGAACCAGGACCGGACCAGGACCGGACCAGGACCGGACCAGGACCGGACCAGGACCGGACCAGGACTGGACCAAGACTCAAACTGGACAAAAACTGGACTGAATCAAGACTTAAACTGCACTGGACCAGGACCAGACCAGGACTGAATAAGAACCAGGACTGTGCCAGGACTAAACCCAGACTGGACTGGGGTCTGGGGATAAACCAGGCCTGAACCAAGACTTAAACCAGACCAAATAAACCAACACCAGCACTAAACCTGGACATGAGGCTCAAACTTTTACATCTCTTCAGCACAAAAACACATTTAGTTGTTTTTAGAGATGTTTTTTTGTTTTTTTTAATCAAAGGTCTCAGATAAATATGACGTCCTTCAGGCAAAGTTCTTAAAAACCGTTGTCTTCTGTGTTTGATTCGTCCTTCAGAGTCTCTGGGTTAAACCTGCACTTGACTCAGACACGGGCAGAACATGCAAACTCCACATTAAACATGACTTCAAAAACAGACCAATATCCTGGTTCTGGATGAGTCACATTCCGTGGGTTTGAGCGCGTTGCCTCCAGGACCGAGTTAAAGTTTAGATTTTCAATAAGAAACTTTTCTGAAACATGTGGCTTCTTCTCGGTCAAAGCCTTTTTACGTGAACTGTTTTTAAATCTAAGAAGCAAAGTTATTTAACGATTGCCTTTTCTTGCATGTTACCAAAATGTAAAAATTGTTTTCGTAATTAAGACTTTCTACGCTTTATTTTGTACTTTTTTTATTTGTAAACCAAACATGATTAAATTAAGATCTGATAAAACAAAATGTCTGTCTCGTTCTTTTTTACATTTTGATTTCAGAATATTCCGTTTCAGAGATTACAACCGCCTGAAATAACGACACTGTAAAGGTTTTATAATATTGTGAGCTTTAAATCATGTTCTAATGTTGTTCCCTCGTCAAAAACAGAGCTGCAGTTGTGTTTTGTTTCATTCACATGTTTGAGTAAATCTTTATTATTTGTCTGTTTACATCTGCAAAGCTCCAAACGCTCTGCTCCATCTTGTGTGCAATAGTTTTCAAGTTAAACTGCTCCTTTTACCTTTTGAAATGGGAAATTTTAAGGTTCAAATTATTTAAATGAGTCTAATAAAAGTGTGTCGAGTCTAAAAATCTTTAAATGTTTTCAGTCTGAACTTAGAACTTGTGTTAAATGTGCAGGTTTGTGTGTTAAACATGTGAATGAAACAAAACAAAAAACACAACTCCAGGTTTTTTGTGTTTGTGACGAGGAAACGACATTAACATTTATTTCACAACTTTTTGTGTCTTTAACAAACTCATGTGGTGCAGGATTCGTTCTAGTCCACTAGATGTAGACAAAACATTTAGACAAATGAACAACATTTAATTCAAAATATTTACAAACTCATTTTATATTATGTCATTGTAGTTTGTATTTTATTTACCAGATATATGACCAAACACAAAGAAACGGTTATTTAATGTATATGTTTAGGTTAGACTTTCATTTGCCCCCATAAATTTAAATAAATGTTAGTCTAAATACATTTTTTGTTAAATATTAGTTTTTTGGTTTTTTTATACTTACCACGTGATTTGTCGTTTTCGCGAAGATACATTTTTACGTAATAGATTATTAAATCTTTTTCTTTTTTTTTTTATTAATACATTTATTTTATTTTTATTATTATTTTACTTACTTTTATTTGCTGTTATTTATTTATTTATTTCCTGTTTAAATAATTCGTTTTAAAATTAAATTGTTATATTAAAATGTAGTCGGATGACCCTCCCTCTTCATTTCATTGACAGACGTTTCCACCAATAGCTTTTCTGCTTTCTCTGATTGACACTCATTTGAGCCAATCTCGTGCGGGTTTGGCGCTGTGGGCGGGACTCGTGGCGGGCTGATTTGCAACCCGCCGGAGCCGCGGTGAAGGAGACGGAACATGGCGCTGACTCTTCCCCGGACCGTTCTAGGATCAGCCCGGGTTTAACGCGCCGGACGCGGCCGCACGGTGAGTCCCGCCGCCGCAGAATCTCCGCTCCAACCTGCGCGTCAATAAAACATCTGCTTTAAAACAAACTCCTCTCGTTTTTCCTCGTGTTTTGAGCTTTATTCCCCGCGGACGCTGCACTTCAGCTTCACTCGCTCCGCCGCCATTTTGCGCTGAACAGATAAAATGTGCAGTTTTGATGCGGCTCCAACAAGTGTTTTTATTTCACTTTTTACACTTAAACTTTGATGAATAATGATTTAAAAGTTCCGAATACGCTCAGGAAAAGTTCAACTGGTGTGTATGGTTTATTTTCTGGTGTAAATCTCAATAATAATGAGATATTTTGTCTATATAATTTTAAAACATCATATTAAAATAAAAGTAAACTTGAACTCGTTTAGACTTTAAATGTCTCATATCACACTTTTCTCTGAATTGTTCTTACGTCATTTTTTCATCACAGAGCTGGAGTTATTATTATTATTATTATTATTTTCATTCATGTTTAACTCACAAACACTGTTCCACCTCGTGATGTCATCATGTGGTGAGATTAGGGTGACCAGATTTTCAGAATAAAAAACTGGGACACTCTGGGTTTGTGGTGGGTCGTAATAATAATTAAAATAATAATAATATTGTGAAAGAAGTGAGTAATTAAGGAAAATTGTTGCACTTGGCTCATTCATTTGGTTTAATGTGATGATTCAGTATCGATATCGTGGGCTGCTGTATCGATATATCACCAAGAGGATTTTTTGGTTTATTTGACTAAATGATTTAGTTCCAGCTACAGTTTTGTTGTTTTGTTCAGTGAAGGAAACTCGTTTATGTGACACATTTGACATTTTTACTGTTTTAATGATTAAAATATTTGTGTTTCATATGAACTTTACATAAGAAGTGATTTAACAAAGACTTTTAGTGTCACAGACATGATTTACACTTTATTTTTACTGAACCGTATCGAATCAATTTGAAATATATTGTATTGAATCAAAAGTATCGTATCGTTTTGTGGGCGGTGTATCAAACTTTGTATCGTATCAGCAACTTCTTAATGATCAACAGTCCTTTTAATGACGAACATGAGTCACTACAGTCACATTTTCTTTGTGTTTTTGTCGTTTTTAAGCAGCTTTTCTGTATTTTACAAAAACAAATGACATTTCTTGTATAAATTGGGACAAATCAGTGGTTTTGTGTAAATCTGTTGGGACAGAGACACAGACTCACTGAAGTTATTGTCTCTAACTGAACTGTTCACCGTCTTTTGTCATTTATAAACAAACAAATTATAAACTTAATAATTTTGTCTTTTTTTCAGGATCAACTCACTTCAATCTCCAGAAACGACAAGATGCAGCAAGAAAAACATGAAGAATCCTCAAAGTTGGAATGAAAGAAAACAGAACTTAAACTAGAATCAAATCCAACTGGACCAGGACTAAACCAGAACTAAACCAGGACTAAACCAGGACTGAACCAGGACTAAACCAGGACTAAACCAGGACTGAACCAGGACTGAACCAGGACTGAACCAGGACTAAACCAGGACTAAACCAGGACTAGTCATGGACCCTGCACACACACAGAGGGTTGTGGGTTTGACTCCTCAGGGGAACATGGTTTTCACGGTCGTCAAACCCGTCATGGGCATTTTACAAGTTTCTTCCCAAGACCAGAACCCGGGTCTGATGCCCACGGCCGCCGCCGCCGCCGCCCTCCAGCCCAACGCCGTGACGCTGCCACAGAACCCCGGTCTGATCCCCGCCGCCCTCCAGCCGCCGCCTCCACCGCCCTCCAGCCCGCCGCCCCTCCACGCCCGCCGCCCTCCACCAGCCCGCCGCCCTCCGCCGCACCTCCGCCCGCCGCCCTCCAGCCCGCCGCCCTCCAGCCCGCCGCCCTCCAGCCCGCCGCCCTCCAGCCCCGCCGCCCCAGCCGCCCCCTCCAGCCAACGCCGCCCTCCAGCCCGCCGCCGCCCTCCAGCCCGCCGCCGCCATGACGCTGAACCCAAGTCTGGCCCTCCAGCCGCAGATCCACCTGGACCCAGAGCCCACAGAGACCTCAGATCCAGGTCCAGGTCTGGGTCTAGAGCAGGATCTTGAGCAGGACTTTGCGGTGGGGGGGTCGGGGGGGTCGGGGGCCAGTGCGGGCGTCGAGCATCTGCCTTTCGCTGAAGTGTCGTCGCTCCTCGACCCCAACATGAAAGGATCCAAAGCCAGTAAGAGTGAAGGGGGGGGGGGGGGGGCTCTACATGTATGTCTAATGGTGGAATGTTCAGCAGTTACCACGGTGACACAAAGCACACACCATTGGTTCTTTTGAATTTCAATTAAGAACAAAAAAAATCTAATGTGTGTCATTTTTTTGTATCAGCACATTTAATTTCAACCATGATTTTCAATATTTAATTTAAAGATTATTTCAAATACACCAATCAAATTTAGATTTGTTCTTCTCTCTGGTTTATTTGAAGTTCTGCTGCTCAGCGTCTGTGAATTCAGACTCATGGATCTAAAATAAAAACTGAACAAAGGAAAGTTTCTCGCTGCTTCTGTTTCTCGTCGTGGAAAAGTGTCACTGTAAAAGACGACGACATGTTTGTCCAGAAAATTACAGAACATTTTCACACAAATCCTTCAGCAGCAGAACTTCAAATGAACCTGAGAAAATCAAATATTCAAAGTTAAATAGTCACAAGATTGGTGTTATTTGAAATTAATTTTAATATTAGAAATAGAGATCAAAATCTGTTTTTTTGTTTGACACTAAAACAGAAAAATGCAATAACAAACTGTTTTCCCATTCGATTGTTTTTTGTTCTTAATTGAAATTTGAAAGAACAAATGAAACACGGATCATTTAAAAACCTTTAAGATCGTCTGAAAACTCAAGAAAAAACTCTGAGTGATTTAAAGACTTTCTTAGGCTCAGATCCTGTTTAGGAGTTTGATTTTCAGAGTTCCCACGGTCATGGAAATCCTGGAAAAGTCATGGAAATGGAAAATGTAATTTTCCAGACCTGGAAACATCATGGAATTTGAGTCTCAAGAGTCTGAAGAGACGACGATAAAAACACTGACAGGATTTAAAATGTTCAAAACTATAATCCCAGACCAGAAGGTGAGAGGAAAGATTTAAACATTTCACATTTAGATTTAAAAGTCTGATCAGTTCTACACATGTAGGTGCTGGAAAGTCATGGAAAATTCACTTCAGGTCATGAAAAAGTCATGGAAAAGTTTTGAAATGTTGTCAGTGTTTTTGTTCTGCGGCTCAGATGTAAAAGTGCGTCGTGTTTGACCCGGTCTGTGTTTGGTCTCGAGGAAAGTACCTGATCTCGTACGACGAGATCCGGCGCCGTCTGCAGCCGCCCGAGAAAATGTCCCTGCGCTCGATCGCGGCGTACACCCGCGTGAGCCGCGGCCCCGCCAGCAAGAAGACCCTCCAGGAGTCACTGAGCGTCCTGGGCCTGTCCCCCAGCACCACCACCGCCGTGTCCTCCTCCTTCTCCAAGCTCACCGAGGGTAAGACCAGACCAGACCAGACCAGACCAGGACACCAGACCAGACCAGACCAGACCAGACCAGACCAGACCAGACTGACCAGACCAGGACCAGACCAGACCAGGACCAGACCAGACCAGACCAGACAGACCAGACCACGACTAAACCAGCACCACCACCGCCGTGTCCTCGTCCTTCTCCAAACTCACCGAGGGTACCAGGACCAGGACCAGGACCAGACCAGGACCAGGACCAGGACCAGGACCAGACCAGGACCGAGACCACAACCAGACCACGACTAAACCAGCACCACCACCGCCGTGTCCTCGTCCTTCTCCAAACTCACCGAGGGTAAGACCAGGACCAGGACCAGACCAGGACCAGGACCAGGACCAGACCAGACCAGACCAGACCAGACCAGGACCAGACCAGGACCCAGACCAGACCAGAGACCAGACCAGACCAGACCAGACCAGGACCAGACCAGACCGAGGGTGACCAGGACCAGGACCAGGACCAGACCAGACCAGACCAGGACCAGGACCAGGACCAGACCAGACCAGACCAGACCAGACCAGACCAGACCAGAGACCACAACCAGACCACGACTAAACCAGCACCACCACCGCTGTGTCCTCGTCCTTCTCCAAACTCACCGAGGGTAAGACCAGGACCACCAGACCAGACCAGACCAGGACCAGACCAGACCAGACCAGACCACCAGCCGTGTCCTCGACCAGGTAGACCAGGACCAGGACCAGGACCAGGACCAGGACCAGACCAGGACCAGGACCAGACCAGGACCAGGACCAGACCAGAGACCAGACCAGACCGAGACCAGACAGACCAGACCAGACCACGACTAAACCAGCACCACCACCGCCGTGTCCTCGTCCTTCTCCAAACTCACCGAGGGTACCAGACCAGACCAGACCAGACCAGGACCAGGACCAGGACCAGGACCAGACCAGGACCCAGGACCAGGACCAGACCAGGACCAGGACCAGGACCAGGACCAGACCAGGACCAGACCAGACCAGACCAGACCAGACCAGGACCAGACCAGACCAGGACCAGACCAGGACCAGGACCAGGACCAGGACCAGACCAGACCAGACCAGACCAGGACCAGACCAGACCAGACCAGACCAGACCAGGACCAGACCAGGTCTAAACCAGGTCTTTACCAGGTCTTTGTTGCAGGAGACACCAGAGCTTTGTGTGAGGACATGAGGGATTTTTCTCAGGATTACATCGATTATGAAAACATCGCCAAACAACTGATCCCCAAAGTGAACACGGTCCAGCACTGGTCCAAGATCATCGAGACCAAGTACGAGTCCTCCAAGTCCTCCAAGTCCTCCTCTGACCCTCTGTCCCTCTGAAACTCTGTCTCTCCATCTACACACTCACATTTAAACTCTAAACTTTTCCCATAGTTCATGTTTTTGTTGTTGATTGTCTCGTTCTGTTTTAAATCTCTAAACTAAAGAGTCAGAGTGGAGGTTTTGTGGAGGTTTTGTGGAGGTTTTGTGGAGGTTTTGTGATGTTTTGTGATGTTTTGTGATGTTTTGTGGAGGTTTTGCAGTGTTACGAGTCGTATCTGTGGAGCTGCGTTCATGAAGCTCGTCTCGTTTCACTTTTGCTCGTTGCTCTTCGAGTCTTTTCCTTCACTTGTTCTTGTAAAGTTTGTGTCTGATGTGGTCAGATGTTGTAGATTGAGTGTTTGAGTCGTTCCTCGAGCTCCTGATGCGACGCTCGTGTTTACGTCGCTGTAGAGATTTTACACAACAGATTTTGAAAGAACGGGAAGTTTATTTTGACACCTCGTGATTATTTCCTGTTAGAAAGTCTGAAGACGCTCTGACATTGAAAAACTTAGAGCTCTGACCTCATTTGGACGGCGCGTAGAATCATGACGAGCGTTAAATGCACCAATGACACTGCTGCTGTAAACTGTCCGACTGATTAAATTGAAAAACCAAACCTGCTCGTGTTCTGTTAGACTTTGGTGTAAATTGGGGCTGGTTGTGTAGTGTCAGTGCTCTGAAGGGGGAGTGACTTAGTGTAGCTAAGCCAGGATAAAGCTAATGCATTTTTTAATCAACTGAAACCTATGGAAACTCGGGTTAGCTCCGGAGTTTAGCCTGGAGCGTTCGGCGGGAGGATGTGACTTTTTTACCCGGGTTCTGCTGCACGTTTCCCGGCAGAGCGAAGCGGCATGGCGCGGTCCGACCCGGAACAGAAGAACCGGGACCGAACCAAAACCAACCAGCTGCTGCCCCACGCAACCAACGGTGAGGAGCGGCGCGGGTCATGACCACGAGGACCTGAAGTCAAAACCGAAACAAAGACCAAAAGAAGTTTCGGTCTGAGGCTGTTGTGAATTTGAGCCGCTGCCGGAGTTTATTTATTTATTTATTTATTCTGGGGATTAAACCCGCGACCTTTAGTCCTGATCACATCTGTGACCGATCCAGGCTGATGTTGTGCTCTTTAGCAAAACACGTCGTCCAGCTGCCTCTGAGTGAACGCACCGTGTGGTTCAGTCCTGGTTTGACTTAATTTGCTGTGAATATAAAGTATAATTTTTCACAATTCACAAAGAAAATAATTTTATTTTTGAAAATTGCAGGATGTAAAGTGTCCGAAGAAAATTTAAAAACATAAAAAACAGCCAAACTGTTAAATAAAAAAGTAATATTTTAAAAAGAAAAGTCTTTAAGTCACATAAAAGTCATTATTATACTGTGTTCTGTTGTGTTGTTGTATCGTGTTGTTGTGTTGTGTGATGCTCTGAAGGGGGAGTGACTTAGCGTAGGGAGCAAAGTGAGTTCTTTAAGTTCACGTCAGTTTGATTTTGTAGAGTCTAAACGTCGTAAACGTGTGTGACAGGAATCACCTGGAGGACATGCGGCGCTGCCTGCAGGAGCCGGCGAACAGTCAGGCGTTCGACAGCGCCACCCACGGGCTCGGCCTGGGCATGATCCACGTGGTCCTGGACATGGTCTCGTCCGTCATCCAGCACCAGGTCCGAATCCTGTCCGGAACCGCCAACGCCAACGCGGATCAGAGCCACGAGTCCGGCCCCTCCCCGCCCAGACGCAACCGAAAACGCCAACGCCGATTCAACCAGAACGAAGCCGCCGCCGCCGCCGCGCCCCAGAGGACGGCGAGGGAGGCGGCCATTTTAAAGGCCAAGAGCGGAGGGAGGGGCAGGAAGAAGGCGAGACAAGATGGCGGGCAGACGGCGGTGGCGGCGGCGGCGGCGGCTGAAGTGGAGGCGACACCGGAGCCGCAGATGGAGGGAGGAAACGTTCTTCTGCTGACGGTCGGATACGAGGCCGTGTCCAACGAACTCACCACAGAGAGCCACATCACAGAGAGCCACATCACAGAGAGCCACATCACAGAGAGCCACATCACAGAGAGCCACATCACAGAGAGCCACATCACAGAGAGCCACATCACAGAGAGCCACAGCGACGAGCCGCTGCAGAGCTGAGAGCCACAGAGAGCCACAGAGAGCCACAGAGAGCCACATCACAGAGAGCCATAGCGACGAGCCACAGAGAGCCACAGAGAGCCACAGAGAGCCACAGAGAGCCACAGAGAGCCACAGAGAGCCACAGAGAGCCACAGAGAGCCACAGCGCCCCCTGCAGAGCCGCAGCGTCGTCTGTCGAGCTCAGACAGTTTCTGATCCAGTTCTTCAGATTTGGATCCTTGGACTAAACCAGAATCTGTGTCATTTGTTTATTAGTTTTAAAAAATTAAATAAAACCAAAAATAAGAAAATGAAAAAAACAAACAGTTTTCTTCATTATTTGTCTCCAAAACCAAAATGAAAAAAACAGATAATGATTCGTTTTTTTAAATTTTCGATTTTGTGTTTAAATGAAAAATGGAAAAACGAGAAATGAGCGTTTCTGGATTGCCGATGGACTGAACAGGACTGAACCAGGACTGAACCAGAACCAGGACTGAACCAGGACTGAACAGGACTAAACAGGACTAAACCAGGACCAGGATTGAGACCAGGACTGAAAACAGTTCAGTCCTGGTTCAGTCCTGGTTTCAGTCCTGGTTCAGTCCTGGTTCAGTCCTGGTTCAGTCCGGCATCGCAGAAACGCTCATTTCTCGTTTTTCCATTTTTCATTCGTTTTGGTTTTGGAGACAAATAATGAAGAAAACTGTTTGTTTTTTTGATTTTCTTATTTTTGGTTTTATATTGAAAATCAAATGAACAAGTGACACACAGATTCACCTGGACTCTGCAGATCAGATTTATCTTCAAACAGACTTTAAATCTTGTTGACTTTATGTTTGTAAAATGATGTTTAGTTTTTGAAATACACAGATTTAAACTGAACGCTGCTGTGACGTCTCTGCACCACCAGGGGCAGCGCTGAGAGCTTTTCTACTGTACATTTTTACAATACAAAGTTTAAAGCTGCACTGTGTAACTTTTCTGAGCGACAGTCCACTAACTGCTGACCTAATTTGGAATGTCACAGGATCTAAAAACATGATCTGTCTCCATGGAGACGAGGTCAAGTCGCAGGTTAGATCTGTGAAGAGGCGAGCTCCCACTCACCGCCTGTTTCCAAGACAATAAAAGTTTCCTGTAACTGAGAGCAAAACAGAGGAGTTTAATGCCAGACTGTGGAACATCCCATAAAACAGAACCATCTCCATGACGACAGCAGGTTACATCACATCCTGTGTGTTTGTGTCAGATGCCCTCCCATCCTCCCCCAGCAAACAACTATGACAAAGCGATTTACAGAATATTATGACTTTTATACTTGAGTATTATGATGATGAAAAGTAATTTTATCACATTTTACCATTTACTGGGACATTTTTGGCTTCTCTTCCGTTTTAACCTGGTAATTAAATTTTATATGAAGCTTTGAATCATATTTATAGAGACCAGACGTCCCAGTCCCACAGATTTATACAAAACCTCTGATTTGTCCCAATTTTATACAAGAAATGTCCCAGTGTCTCTATTTTTGACCAATCTGATCCTGCAACACTAAAGAGAAACAGAAACTTTCATTAGTTTGAGTAAAATACAAAAAAGCTGCTTAAAAATGATAAAAACACAAAGAAAATTAGACTGTCAGTGTTTCCACAGTCATGGAAATCCTGGAAAAGTCATGGAATTTGAGTCTCTTTCCCTCCGCTCCAGTGTTCTGTTCAGTTCTCATGAGTCTGTTCTGATTATTTGTGAACATCTGCACCTTTTGTTTAAAAGAGACGACAATAAATGCACTGACAGGATTTTAAATGTTAAAAAACTATAATCCCAAACCATGAAGTGAGTGGAAAGAGTCACATTTCAGATTTACTGTATTTCCTGCAGTATTGTTCACTCTGGATTATAAGGAGCATTAAAGGAAACACAACAGTTCAATAAGTCAGTCAAACTTTATTTAATGTGTTCACAATAACTCTCATCTTTATTCAGTTGTAACGTGTAAATAAATCCTGTCTGAGACGTTACATTTTTCTCGTATTCAAAGTCATAATAGTTGAAACAGTTGTGTGATTCTGTCGTCCACACGTCCACATCCGTCTGTCACGATCTCGTCAGTGTGGTTCTTGTTCCCTGGAGTTCAGTTCAGTGATGATTCTGGTCTTGGTGAAAGCTCGGACCACAGTTGATCCTGATCCTTCGCCCGGGCGTCCACGATCCGTCAGCAGATCGTGGCGTAAGTGGCTCGGCGCTGTTTCTCTGTCTCTCTGTCTCTCTGTCTCTCTCTCTGTCTCTCTCTCTGTCTCTGTCTCTGTCTCTCTGTCTCTCTGTCTCTCTGTCTCTGTCTCTCTGTCTCTCTGTCTCTCTGTCTTGGTGAATGTTTGTTCTCCTTCTCTCATCCACTGCTCCCACGCAGCTAAACGCACTTTCACTTTACAACAGTCTTGAGTTTAAAGTGGGCGTTGTGAGCGAGTCTCTTGACAGGTGCATTTTGATATTAAAAGAATCAGTCTGTTTTACTCCTGATGCTCCTGATGACGGGAGCCGTGATGCTGCAAGTGGAGCGGCTTTGTACTTTACTAAAGTCGTACTAAAACACAACAATAAATTCATATATAAGACGCTCTGGATTATAAGGCACACACTCGTTTTTGGAGGAAATTAAAGGATTTGAAGTGCACTTTATAGTGAGGAAAATACAGTAGTCCTAAAAGTCTGATCAGTTCTTCACATGTAGGTGCAGTAAAGTCATGGAAAATTCACTTCAGCTCATGAAAAAGTCATGGAAGTTTTAGAATGTTGTCAGTCAAAAAGAAAGGGAACCCTGGACTATACTGACTCTTTTTTTCCTTTTTACACATTACACGTTTTACAGTTTTATTCTTAAAAACCACCACAAACCGAGTGTCCCAGTTTTTTATGTTGAAAATCTGGTCACTCTACTTTAATAGTTTTTCTCCTCCTGTTCTTCTGCAAAGCGCCATCTGTTTGGAGACTTCCCCGGCTCTGAACACCTGTGCGTAATCCGTGCGTAATCTGTGCGTAATCTGTGCGTAAACACGAGGCGCAGGAGGTTTAGCAGATTTACCACCTGCTGCTGCTCAGGCTAAAGCTAACGCACTTTTTAATCAACTGAAACCTATGGAAACTCGGGTTAGCTCCGGAGTTTAGCCTGGAGCGTTCGGCGGGAGGATGTGACTTTTTTACCCGGGTTCTGCTGCACGTTTCCCGGCAGAGCGAAGCGGCATGGCGCAGTCCGACCCGGAACAGAAGAACCGGGACCGAACCAAAACCAACCAGCTGCTGCCCCACGCGACCAACGGTGAGGAGCGGCGCGGGTCATGACCACGAGGACCTGAAGTCAAAACCGAAACAAAGACCAAAAGAAGTTTCAGTCTGAGGCTGTTGTGAATTTGAGCCGCTGCCGGAGTTTATTTATTTATTTATTTATTTATTCTGGGGATTAAACCCGCGACCTTTAGTCCTGATCACATCTGTGACCGATCCAGGCTGATGTTGTGCTCTTTAGCAAAACACGTCACCCAGCTGCCTCTGAGTGAACGCACCGTGTGGTTTCAGTCCTGGTTTGACTTAATTTGCTGTGAATATAAAGTATCATTTTTCACAATTCACAAAGAAAATAATTTTATTTTTGAAAATTGCAGGATGTAAAGTGTCCTAAGAAAATTTAAAAACATAAACAACAGCCAAACTGGGAAATAAAAAAGTAATATTTTAAAAAGAAAAGTCTTAAGTGTGTTTTAGTAAAATCAGTGGTTCAACCGGTCACATAAAAGTCATTATTATACTGTGTTCTGTTGTGTTGTTGTATCATGTTGTGTGTTGTTGTTGTATCATGTTGTGTGTTGTTGTTGTATCATGTTGTGTGTTGTTATGTGTTGTTGTTGTGTTGTTGTAGATAATCTGAACACGGCTCTCGGGGCGATTCGAGTTTTGGGTTTGGAGCTGAAGGACAAAGAACTACAACCTCATCTGAGCACCGTCCTCACCTGTATCCAACAGAAGAGTGAGTACTACTACTACTACTACTACTACTACTACTACTACTACTACTACTACTACTACTACTACTACTACTACTACTATTACTACTACTACTTCTACTTTTGCTCTAGAGTTTATAAACTTGTTCCCGTGACCTGGTCTGAGCCTGTTCCTCGTGTGTCCAGACAGGGGCGCTCCGGAGCAGGTGGTGATCAGTGGAGTACTTCCTGTTCTGGCCCTGAACCTGAGAACCCGAGGCTCCGTCCTGACGGCCCGACTCGTGTCCGCGCTCGCCAACGACGGTGAGTCCGACCGAACTCATGTCCACACTCACCAGCGACGGTGAGTCCGACCGAACTCATGTCCACACTCACCAGCGACGGTGAGTCCGACCGAACTCGTGTCCACACTGGCCAATGACGGTGACACCGACCGAACTCGTGTCCACACTCGCCAATGACGGTGACACACAATGACGGTGACACCGACCGAACTCGTGTCCACACTCGCCAATGACGGTGAGACCGACCGAACTCGTGTCCACACTCGCCAACGACGGTGAGTCCGACCGAACTCGTGTCCACACTGGCCAACGACGGTGAGTCCGACCGAACACTCGTGTCCACACTCGCCAATGACGGTGAGTCCGACCGAACTCGTGTCCACACTCGCCAATGACGGTGAGTCCGACCGAACTCGTGTCCCACACGGTGAGTCCGCCGAACATGTCCACACTCGCCAATGACGGTGAGTCCGACCGAACTCGTGTCCACACTGGCCAATGACGGTGAGTCTGACCGAACTCGTGTCCACACTCGCCAACGACGGTGAGTCCGACCGAATTCATGTCCACACTCGCCAATGACAGTGAGACTGATCAAACTTTACGGAGCAGAAGTTTGGAGATTTCTTTAAAAACAGTGACTCTGCCGTAGAGTTTTCTCCTCCTCTCCCTCGTCTTCTGTCTGATAACTCTGCTCTCCCTTCCACAGCTCTGGTGCGTAAAGGCTTCGGAGACTCAGGTCTGGTCCCAGCTCTGATCTCTGTCCTGACGAGTCCAAACGAAGATCTGCTGATCCACTCAGCCACAGCCCTGAGCCGCATGTGCTACGACAACAGTGAGAACTAAACCAGAACTCAACCAGGACTGAACCAGGACTGAACCAGGACTGAACCAGGGCTAAACCAGGACTGAACCAGGACTTAAACCAGGACTAAACCCTGAGCCTTGACTGTTGACAAACACCTGAACTAAAACATCAGTTTGACAAACTGACAGTGAATTAAATAAAACAGATTAGTTAATAAATCGTTATATTTACTCAGAGCCTCGTGACTCTCAGACTCTTGAAAAATCTTTCTTCTTCTCTCCAAACTCTGTGGTGTCAAATACTGTAGCCACAGCTGCCCTGGGGCAGACTGACAGAAGCGTGGCTGCCAATCTGCACCATCAGCTCCTCCCACCATCATCACACACTCCACAGTCTTACAAGACAAGTGTCTTGCCTAAGGACACAACAACAGTTTTAGCTGCTGGCACCCCCTGTAGAACCTCTCAGCCCAGACCTGGTCCTGCTCAGGTCTGAGGTCTGAGGTTCAGACTCTGACAGAAGAAGGTTTTATAACAGATGATGGAGTTTTATTTTCATCTGTTCAATCACAGAATTTATTTAGACTCAAAAACAAAACAAACCTCCACAGAATCTGATCTGGGGTCAGATCTCAGACGCTCTGAGTCTGGACTGGACTTGGATGGAGACACTGAGAACATCAGGAGCCACAGGAGGAGCCAGAGCAAAAACTGTTGTTGTGTCCTTAGGCAAGACACTTCACCCACATTACCTCATGTGAAAGTGGAGTGTGTGTGTGCGTATGTGTGCGTGTGTGTGTGTTGGTGGTGGGAGGAGCTGATGGTGCAGATTGGCAGCCTCACTTCGGTCAGTGTGTCCCAGGGCAGCTGTGGCTACAGCAGGAGTTCACACCCCACAGTGTGGAGTGAGTGGAAAATGACCTGTAGAGTGTTTTTGTGTTGTGAAAGGTTTTGTATAAACATCATGATTAATGAATGATTATTATGATTGAAACAGTGTTATTGTCGTGACGTTTACACACTGGAGTCGACAGGAGCTGCACAGGGTCAAACCTCCTGACACCAGCAGCTCCGGACTCACCAGGACACGAGGCAGAAGCTCTGGTCTGACCTCCACTGTGTCCAGCACTAAAGTCTCCAGTCTCCATCATAAATACTCAGAAATGCCTCTCTCCCTCCGTCCTTCCTCCTCTTCCTCCTCTTCTCTTCCTCCTCTTCCTGGTCTCAGGTAAACTCCAGGACCAGTGCGTTCGTTGTGGGGCGGTTCCTCGTCTGGTCTCGATCCTGTTCCGGTTCTCGGAGCGCCCCCTGCTGGAGGAGGCGTGTCTGCTCGCGCTCTGTAACCTGAGCGGGCTGGGCCTGAGCGAGGAGGGGGGCGTGTCCTGGGAGAGGGGCGTGGCCATGCGCCCAGGTGAGTCACAGACCACAACAACAGTAGAAGTACTAGACCTGGTTTAGTCCTGGTTCAGTCCTGGTCTCACGTGCGCTTCTCTCTCAGGTGAGTGCACGTTCACAGGCTCCGCCCCCCTGCGCTGCGGGTGGGCGGGGTCTTGGGTTACCGTGGTGATGGTCTCTCAGTTCGCTCCGGGCCAGTTTTCCGTGAACATGGAGGTGATGCGGCGCTGCTCCCCGCGCTTCCTCCAGGGGGCGCCGCACCACTCCCTCTTCTCCGTCGTCCGGACCGGATCCAACGTCTACAAAGTCCTGAAGCACTGGACCCGGAACCGGACCAGGAACCAGACCCGGAACCAGACCCGGAACCTCAAGACCAGGATGTTCCACACTTTTCTATAACAGAAGCCCTCTCCTCCAGGACTAAACCAGGACTAAACCAGGACTAAACCAGGACTAGCTCATGATCCCAGTTCAGTCCTGGTTTAGTCCTGGTTTAGTCCTTGATTAGACCTGGTTTAGTCCTGGATTAATCCTGGTTTAGTCCCTGTAAATGTTTTAACTTTAAACACATAAATAATTTTTTATTTAAATATTTTATTTACAAAACATTGATATTTTATACAATTTTACTGTTTTCATTTTATACCATTTAAATTTCTGTTTGCCTCTTTTTGTTTTATTTTAGCACTTTACTGTTTTCTGTATTTTTGTTTAAACCAACATCTGTCTTTTCTTTAAATAAAGGCCGTTGTATTTAAAGTTACAGTATGGAACTTTCTGGAGCCGGTGTGTCACATTCTCCACACTCATAAACAGAAGCCACTGTGAAACATTACAGCCAAAAGATCAACGTTTCCATGGATACGAGCAGAAACATTCAGATGACCAGAATGTTTATCCAGAGCAAAAAAAAAAACATGGTTAAAAAGTGACAGAGTGGAGCTTTAACCCGGGTTTGAAATGAAATCATGTTAAAACTGAAACACAGATCTGCCCAAAGCCCAGAAAAACCTTTCTCCTGGTTTAGAACTGGTGCAGTCCTGGTTCAGTCCTGGTTTAGTCCTGGTTTAATCCTGGTTTAGTCCTGGTTCAGTCCTGGTTCAGTCCTGGTTTAGTCCTGGTTTAATCCTGGTTTAGTCCTGGTTCAGTCCTGGTTCAGTCCTGGTTTAGTCCTGGTCCAGTCCTGGTTCAGTCCTGGTTCAGTCCTGGTTTAGTCCTGGTCCAGTCCGTGCTCCGGTTTCCGCCTCTTGCAGCTCTCCCTGTAGTCCCGCTCCTGGACGTGTGAAGTCCGGTCCTGGATCCAGGTCTGGACCGCCGGCTCGACCTGCAGCTCCAGAGTGACCTCCTGAAACACTTTACACACGGAAACCTGCGCCGGGAAAAACATCAGAGCATAAACACACCGAGAAACTACGAAAAACTACAAAAAACAAAACAACTGCGACTGAAATCAAACCGAAATCACAAAGGTCCAGACGTTTAAAATCTCCTCACATCTTCACAAGGTTTGTAAAGAATCTGTGTATCAGTCATTCATTTTTCTAAATAAAACCGAAAATGAGAAAATGAAAAAACATAACAAATTTATTTTATTTTATTTTTTTTCAGTTTTCAATTTTGTGTTTATATTAATAACGGAAAAAACAGATAACGCACATTTCCTGTTTACGTGACTTAAGTCCTGGTCTGGTCCTGACTCTCAGTCCTGTTTTAGTCCTGGTTTGGTCTGTTGTTTGTTTTTTCATTTTCTTATTTTTGGTTTTACTTTGAAAAACAAATGAACGAAGGACACACGGATGATAAAGAATTTCTAAAAGTGATTCTTGTTTCATTTAAAAGTCTTAAATGTGTCTGTACCTCGCTGAAGTGGAGTTTCTTGAACATGTTGATGCTGATCTGATTTTCCAAACCGATTTTCACCTGGAACTTTTTAATCCCGAGTTTGGAGATTCCTGAAAAACAAAAACAAAAACCGGAGCGATTCTGTCACGTTTATCGACTCCTTTAACTCAAATAAGTGTAATATTTTTCTAGTTATTGAAATTTAATGGACACGTAAAGCCGCATTGTGTCATTTTTCTGGTGGAGGGTCTGTCACGTGCTCTGGAATGTTCCACCGTGTGACTTTAAACAGCTCTACTTTACATTTATTCAATCACAGGAGGATTTAGAGTCAAAAAACCCTAGAAAAACAAACATTGTGACAGTGAACGGAACCGCCTCTCCACAGATCTGACCTGGAACTGTCTCTGGTTTAGTCTCCATGGAGATATAAAGGTTTAATGTCACACTGGCCACATTTACATGATGTTTTTTAATTCCAGGTTAATTATTTTGAATTAAATAGTTCAGAATTAAAATCTTCTCCTTGTAGTTTCCATGTAAATAATAAAGTTGAATTGTTTCGATGTTAAACTGGTGAAATGTTTTTGATTTAACGTGTGTGAGCGTCTCTGGGGGGGGGGAAGGTTCTGATTGGACAGTATCTGTGTATTTGGTCTGTGTGTTTTCTGACCGTAGCTCATCATGATGCAGACCACTTCTGTCCCGACGCCTTTCCCTCGGAATCTGGGCTCTGGAAAAACAAAACACAAAACTTTATTTAATCCTGAACGACACAACTGTATAAGTGTGACTTTTGTTCATGGTTTGTGTGTTTTCTGTGACTTTTATATTAAAAGTTTGAGTGAAGTGTGGAGAGGTTCTAGTCTTGTGTGTGAGGATCTGCTGCTCCTGTTCCTCCTGCAGAAAGAGCCTCTGTCCCGTCTGTATCATGTCAGTCGATCGCACCGTTACTTCTGCACCACTGAACTATTTCACATTTAAACTTTAAACTTATAAAGACAAAGACTGAGAAGACTGAACACAAACGCCCCCAAAACAAAATCAGATTCTGCAGATTTACAAACTGTAAGTCGTGAAATCTGCAGCTGAAAATGGAAATCGAGCAGCAGAAAGAAAGTTTGGAGTGAGAGAGAAACTTGTGACACCGGGACCAACTTTCCTGAAGTCACTGGATGATGGACAAAGTCTGGACTTCAGTGACACCGAAACCATCCTGTCGAAATTCAGAAAGACATGAATAATTCTAACTGAACTGATGCTGAGTCTGACCACAGCGACACAGAAGAGTTTGCGTCGCTCTGTTTCCCTCCGGAGGTTTTGGAGTTGCTCAGAAGTGACACAAGGATGAAGAATTGAAGTGATTTAGTGATTTGGAGTGAGATGGAGAGTTTGTTAAACTTGGTTCTGTTCTGTTGTTTCTAGTTTATCTGAAGAACTGTTCATATGTGACAGTGTTAACAGTCTGTTCTTCTCTCTTCTGTTGTTTTTACTAAAACTTGACTTTACACAGGAAATGTCGGCTCCTGATCTCTCATTTTATCAAATACATTTCCCCCAAAAAGTGACACTTATTTGTTTTTTTTCTTCTTCATTATGTATTTTTTGTCTGGTGCGACTCCGGAGCGATTTATAATCCGAAAAATGCAATTTTTTTTTCTGAAATGAGGCTCTATGAGTGAACTTTGACCTCTGACCTGCGATCATGACCTCGAGCTCGGCCAGGCTCGGGTCGCCGGGGTCGGTCAGAAACAGGTTGACGTCTCCCATCATGCACTGCTCCTCCTGCGCGCCGGCGTCCCACTGCTCCCGCTCCAACACGATGAACGTGCACTCTGAAACAAACAGAACACTTTAAATCTCTGCTCCACTGTGTTTTTAAACTCCACACACCTTCACTAGAATCACCTGGATCATTTCAGACCTGGAATCTCTTTACCACTTCATGACATCACAAGGTGGAGCAGAGCGTTTGGAGGTTTGTAGATACAGACAGACTCATAATAAAGATTTACTCAAACATGTGAATGAAACAAACACAACTCCAGCTCTGAGTTAAATCTCCAAGGGACCAGGCCTGTGTGTTACAGGACACAGAGTCTAAATCTATGAAAACAGAAAACAGAACAGTTTTCTTCACTGGACTCGAGGCTCAGGCACCGTTCACAAACCAGACGCCATCTGATGTTTCAGTGGAATCCACCAGCAGTGTTCACCAGTCAAAGTCTGTTTAAATGTTCCTCACGGTCTGAGTTGTGTCTCCTGCTCCTCTGAGTCTCTGGGGTTAGACACGAGGGTTTAACTCTAACAGAG